AGCACATCTAAATTTAGTTTCCTGTCCTAATGAACATCAGCCACAGCCTGAGTATGCTGCAAAAAGGACCCTTCTCTCTGTGGGGAAGCAGTGGTCTCCTTGCAAAAGTCCCACACACACTCCTTGCTGAGTCAGACCTATAGATCTGCAATTAGGAAAAATCATTTTCCCAGCTTATTGCAGAGCTATAGTTCTGACTCAGCTGGGAGTGTGACAGACCTCTGTGCTAGAGAGAACAAATGGTATGCTGGTAATGTGAATAATAGATAAGAACAACAAGGGTATTAACCTAGGTCTAGCCCAAGCATAAGAAGAAAGTTCTCAGCCTTTACAAAGAATTAAAAGCTTTAGAAGAGAGAGACAGAAAACCTTTCCAAGTCTGTTCTGGCTGGTTTACAAAATATCTGGAGAATCTGCATCTGCTGTCCACAGCTCTCCAGCTCACTACCCAGATCAGCTCAAGACCTTCATCAAATAGAGAGGCATAGAATGCCTGAAACAACATACATCTCTCTTTAGTAAAAAACTGCACCAAGGCTCAAGGCAGGACAAAAATCCACTAACACTTCTGGTTAAATAATACACATAAGCGGTAAAGTCCCTATCTCTGCATTGATGTCAGAGTCTTGAAAAGGGGGACAAACAATATGAAGACAATGGACCTGTTAGACTTGCTTAGAGGTTTGGCTTGGTGAAGCTGAGTCTGGTAATAATTACTTATTGACCTGGCAAGAAACGCAATAATGACCTATTTGGTTTAGAGAACAGAACAGAAAGTTGTATTACCCAGCTACAACAAACTGGATGTAACTTGTGTCTTGGCCAAGACATTAAAGAATATCTCAACCCCAAAGCAAAAATGTTATACTGTATATTGCTGCTCACTAGTCCTTAGATGTGGTTGCTCTGTTTCGGCAAGAACAGAAAATATTCTTGATTTAGTTAATCTTGCAAAGCGTACAGTGTCCTTGTCAGTTCCTTTGAGCTGAACTGAAAGCACAAACAATCTTTTCTTTTTTCTGTAAACTACAACCTCCCCCCTTCCATATAGCTGAGATGAACAGAAAAATACATGTTTGAAGTATAACGTGGGTGGTAAACTTGACTCCCTTCATGGACACAGTGGAGTGAGCGAGAATAGCCACCCAAGGGCAGGAAGTGTGTTGTTATTAGAATTAACAGGTGAAAATGAAGGGAAGCCCAGAAAATGAAAACTTGTGCAGCTACCACATCTAAGGACTACTTAGCTATGAGGTTTTACATTTTTGTTTTCAGCTTAGATGTCCTTTAATACCTGAAGTTTTGCTTTCCTAGGTAAACTAGGTCTTAGTCTTATAAAAGGCTCTAATGTGCAACTTTTGTTTGCACATTCAGTGAACTGTATTTGCTGTAAGAGGCTTGTAAGTAGCAGACCAGAGGAATAAATGTTAGGACTTGGTTCATGCAATTGATTGAAATGCCAGGAATCTCACATTACGAAGTGCAACATCTCACTCAATTTAATCAGACAAAAATATACAAGATGGGTTCGTACAAGTAGAAGTAAGATAAAATCATCATCCAATCAATGGTGGTGTTGTGCCTTGAGCTTCTGAGAAAAGAGACATGTCACAACAAACGCTTCAAGGAGCATTCCACCTCAAGTGGCCGGAGGTAGAGGTTCGCGGGTTTCATGCTACCATGTTTTTATTGTGAATCCCAGGGATTCATGAACATTTGGCTAAAAAGTTTGCAGGTTCATAGCCTTTTCTCTGATAAACCGAGTCAAAAATAGCAAATAAATTAAAGGAATAGACAACCCAGCCCCCTTTCTGCAAAACAGTGGGCTTACAGCAACTATATTATCAGCACGTGTTGGAGCTGTTAGGCAGAGCTGACAATTCTGTGTATAATGGCATTCCATGAATTCCCATGCCTTTTGTTTGACACTGGATTGCTTATTAGCCCTACAAAAAGCCAGAATTGCACCCCCCTGCAAAGTTTGCAAACTTTAAAAACAAGGCAGATTTACTCATCCCTAGTCAGAGAAAACAACTCCAAACCCCATCACTGTATTCATCATCTAGGATAAGTCTAGTATTGAGGTCTTTGCTTCTTCTCTGAAATCACTGTGTCAGTAAAATGTGGTTTAAAATGTGTTTTTTAATGCATAATATTGTTTTTTTGTGGTTAATGTATTTTGTGCATAGCAAGCCTCATCATTCAGATCTGTGTGATGTATGTAGCATTACAACTATGCCAGTTGTAATGCATCCGTTACCATTATTTTCAGTGGGGAACCAATGTTTTAATTATGTGAAATTTGAATTAAACAGACACTTACGGGAGATCAACCCTGCTGTAAATCTAGACTCACTTGTATAATACACTACATACTAAAAAGAAGAAAAAAGGTTGGAGGATTGCCATGGTTAATGTCCAAATTAGCAGTGCGTACCATGGTATTATCATGCTTTGTATTTGTAGTGGGTGACTACAGCTGTTTTTAATGAAGGGATTGCTATAATTACAGTATATACATTTAACATGCCTACAGCGGATAGGTATGGTAACAGTTCATTTGATCTTCAGATATGGTCAATGCTTGCTTTTACTAAAGAATGAATATTTCCAGAAAAGTTTGTAATTATACCTATTCATAAAAGCATTATACCCTGTTATGGGAAATAGTAACATGCCAGTACATAATAGCTAGGTGTAGGTAAGCTCTGCAATACAATTATTATAGCAGGAATTAAATGACAAGCCACTTTAAATGGTGATTACCGCTTTGTGCTATACATTAGTCATCACATTGCAAGTCTACTACCATGCTAAAATTGTATGTCAAGCCAAAAATGATCTTTTTGTTTTAGACAGGTTTGGGGAAGGATCAGAACCCTTGTCTCATATTTACTGCTATCTGGGGCTCTGCCGCACTTTTTGTATCTCCGACAACAATTTTATCTGGCTCCAAGTAATTAAAAATTTGCAACAGAGGCATAGACGGCAATAAATGTCTAACTAGAGTTCTAGCCTTCTCTGTTGGAGTGTTCTCCTTACTTCCTGTATGGTAAATGTTGTCAGCAGGACATGAAGTGGGTAAAAATCTCTCTAACTGCACCATGGCTATGAGTAAAAACTTGATAGGGCTCTAAAAAAAGTTTTGGCTTGACATACACATGAAGATTTCCAGTACAGCTGTCACCATGCTAGGCATAACAAAAACACTAGGGTCTGTCCCAACACTATCCCATTACACTAAAGGACTTGTCTAATTAAGGGGGAAGAGGTGCTTTAAATAAATAGCTATACTTGTACAAGAATGAAGAGAACTATACAAGGAGAGCAGCATGTGATACAAACTACAGTAATTCCAAATTATAAATGTTTAAAAAAAGGAGTTATATTAGGTTTCTCTGCAGCTGTATTCCCTTCGGTCTATTATGTTTATGTCTTGAACAATAGCTTCCATAAATAATACTAAGATTACTTTAAGAAGAGCCAAGTAGACTGGGGTCAGCACAGCTCCTGGAACAAGACATAAAAGTGGGAACTACAAAAGTAAAAATAAACTTGAAAAGTTCTTGTTGGTAAAGTCACGACTTGAATAGCTAATTTGTATAAATTAGATCCAGCTAAACAAACACAAATTGTATCATTCTTGTCCTAAAGTCATCTTATCGTTATTTGCTGTTTCAATCATTATACTAAAAGAATAAATGAGATTCAAATGAACAAGAACTCATAATTCCTGTTACTGCACAGGCATGAATACGAACAAAGACAGGCTGGTGCTGAGTAACAGGACACATTATATGACTGGATATTATTTATTTGTAATCAAGGATCACTCCAGCATAGACAACAATCAGCCTGATTTGCAAACCTAGTGAAAAATGTGTGTAGCATTGAGTAACTAGAACGTATCATGATTCTGTAGGACTCAACAGAAAATATTAAATGGAAGACGCAAAAGATAAATAATAAAGCAGAAAACAAAAATTACAGAATGGTAAAGGTAGAGCTAAGCCACCGTAAAAGTTAAGGCCCCTTTCAGACAAATGGTCTAATCAAGTCTGCTTGTCAGTTTTTCAGGCGGATCTGATTGGAAGTCCAATGCTAGTCTATGGGCAAATGAAAGTAAGCAGATGTGCGTCCGTTTACATCCTATTAACCCCTACTCTGTCCGGGTCCAGAAAACAAAACAGAACAGAGTTGCATTTTGGAGGACCTGATTGTGACGGATTGGGGGTAATCTGATGTAAATGGACACACATCCGTTCACATGCCCAAAGACCTAACATGGGTAACGTAAGTTCAGTTTTTTAAAGAACTGGATAGACACAGATATCACACTGGTGACATCTGATCTGTACTGCTCCAATCAGCATGGGGCATGTGCATGGATCCCCTGCTGATTGGAACGGACAGACACCCGTGAGAAAGGGGCCTTAGCAAAAAGGATTTGAAGGAGATGAAAGATATATTTAGAAATATTAGAGGACTTAGTGACATGGTACCAGTTGTGATAAAAGAACCCTCTTGGATAAAACTTTAAGCAAAAAGTTTAAAGTGTATTTCCACTTTTGCAGTAAAATTGTGGAATAAAAGCGTCTCTTTTAACCCCTGTTAATGCTGTTTGTAGCTCCTACTCTGAAGCCCACAATATGGGCATTCCTGTGGAGGGACGTACAGCCAGCACTGAGCCCCTGCCCCCTCCCTAAGATGACTGCTTTTTTACATTGTATTACTTATTATAAAGGAACAATCAGTGCTGAAGGGCTGTGTGATATATACGGTAGGTGCCAGCTGCTAGTGAACATACAGGACATCAGCAGCTCGATCTCACGTCCCAGCAGAGCTGATCTTTCATTCATAGCAGTAAAAAGATCACTCAGCGCTGCAGGGCTGTGTGTATCTGCGGCTGCTTGTAAATGCAGATCCCCGGCAGATAGATGACATAGTCCTGCAGGACTGAGTGATCTTTTGCTACTTTGAATGAATGATCAGCACTGCAGGGCTGTGTCATACACTCTACTAGGACCCGACAGCTCTGATCGTTCTATCATAAAAGGTCATTCAGTGCTGCGGGGCTATGTGATCTATCTGCGGCTGCTTGTAAATACAGAGTTCAGGGAGATAGATTAAATAGTCCTGCAACGCTGAGTGATCTTTTACTACTATGAATAAATGATCCATGCTGCGGGGCTGTGTTTTACACTATACCAGCCCTGACAGCTTTGATCATTCATTTATCGTTCACTCATTCATCACTCGGCACTGCAAAGTTATGTGATCTAGCTGTGGCTGCTTGTAAATACACAGCCCTGGCAGATAGACACAGAGCCCCACAGTGCTGAGTGATTTGTTGTGAATGGCAGCGCTGGTCTCCAGAGTGGCCCCCTGCTGCAAGAGACCAGCATGGTTACTCAAAATTTTATCTCCATGGTAGTAGCGTGGTCGGACAGCAGTGAGTAAACTGTCCAACCTCGCTGCATAGCAATGAGAGGATGGATTTGAACGGGACAAAGTGCCATATGCTGCATTCTTATGCCTTTTCTTTTTTGATTCTGACGACTGCAACTTGCAGTATACAAAAAAAAAAAAAAGTCTGCAGATAGCAAAGAAGCTATTGCTTCCTGTGCTATCTGCCATCATTTTAGGAGGTTGCTCTCTCCCAGCCCCCCTAACCACCCCCTCCGCGGATAGGGGGTGGGGGCGAGAGGGCACCTCCCTAAAAATGAGAGGGACACCTCCCTGAAATTGCTTATTTCAGGTTGGAATCAATGGCATTGGCCTATACACATACAGCACAGCAATGAAGTAATAAAATGAACTAGGATCACACTAATCCAGCACGTTATTATTCTGAGTTGCCCCACTCAAGCGCCGGCCCTATTGAGTGGGGCACGTGAGATTAATAACGTGCTGGATTAGTGTGATCCTAGTTCATTTTATTACTTCATTGCTGTGCTGTATGTGCATAGGCCAATTTAGTTGGATCTGTATGTGCGTTATAATTAATCGAAATTAATCGATTAAAAAACATTTCGATTAATGGAACACAAACATTTTAATCATTACCAGCCCTAGTTAGTATGGCTAACAAATGATTTCTGAAATCGACCTTTGACTATGCTTGATAGGGAAGGCTAGGTATAATCGAATGAGGGTTTGTGGCAGAAATAACAAATGTCTGAAGAAAATTGTACAATGTGAGGCCATTTTAAGTCTTCCAATTGTGACCCCTTGTTCTGCTGACAAATGTCTAAGAATGAATTCCCCTCACTTTGTATACATTTTCTCTCACTTCCCGTTCTACCTCTGTGAGAGGAACTGAAAGGAAATCTCTCAACAAGATGTTTGAACTGTCCACAAGTTGCACTGCTGTCACAAAAAAAAACTCTTTAGCAAATTTAAACAAACGGGTATCAATTTTACAAGTCAGTATGTTGTGGTATAAAACATATTGATATATGTTGGAACTTTTCGTGAAGAGTCAAAAAACTCTCCAGCTTAAAAGGATCTATTATTTACAATGTTACAGCAAAGTACATACCCTTTCAGTTGAACTGCTGCATCATCGTCTTCACTGACCCGTCGCATCATGCCGCAGTTTTCCAGAGACAATTTCTCTAAGAGTTGGAAATCAACATCATTGCCAATGCCAATGCTGAACAGACAGAACTTTTCCTTGATGGCATTCTTAGTATTTAATAGGATATTACTAGACTGGATTTCCCCAATAGTTGGTCTTCCATCAGTCAAGAATATCATCAATGACACGCTCTTCTCATGCTTGTCCATATTAATTAGATAGTTATTGAGGAGGCTGGTGGCAGCCTGGATACCTCCATTTATATTTGTGCCTGAAAATATAGAATACTTCACTGTAAAATCCAATACAATAACATACCAGGTTTAATCTGTGCCTATACAAACAATGATGTTACTATAAAAAAAAAATCATTAATAATTGTTTTTCTGATGTATCAATGCATATATCGAAAGAAATAATACAAAAAAAAAATCTATATACATATACAGTATATATTGTGGCAGTGTAAGCCAATACCACGGTGTTAGGTGGCCTCAAAGTCACCCAGGGTTCTCAGCCAGAGGGGCTGAGTGGCTCCAGGAAGACAGTACGTGTACCAGGAGAGAACTGCCTTTTCAGTTATTTCCAGGTTGTCTGGATCATAGTTGGGATCCTGGAGCCAGGAGATTTCTTAGAGCTCTGGGTGGGATGAAATCTCCATTCCTGGGTCCATGCTTTGGTAGTGACCAGCACCTGATTGTGCACCTGTGTACATCCTTCATGAAGAGTGTGCTGGGATGTGTTCAGGGCCCCACCTGTGAGTCAGGAGAGCTCCACCCTGGGGAGTGTTGGAGTTGTGTGTGTGCGCGGAGCACACGGACACAGACCACCTCGGGTGCATGCTAGACGCACACGGAACAGCCAGGGGTGGCTGGGAGAGGTCAGGAAGGTCGGTGACCCGAGGACCTGCGGTACAGTCTGCTAAGAGAGCAGAGTGAGGGCTCACGAGGGGTGAGCAGCGTGAGTGTCTTGTAGCTGAGGAAAGCTACAGAGCCATAACAAGGACTGTCTTATGTTGCTGTTTCAAGCTATTTTGTGTTTGCCCTTTCAATAAACTGTGTTTCCTTGACTTACCTGGACTACAGTGGAGTGTCCTTGTTACAATATATATTGTAATAATGTCTATCAAGGAATCCCGCTGTTTACATTGTATTCTGACATATCCAGCACTTGTCAGAATACGCGATCAGAACGGGCAGCTCATCGGAAATTTTCCAGCCGGCTCCTTGGATCAGCTGATCGAGGAATGTCGGCTGAAAGGGAGCGGACAGCCCCACACACTGTGCGAATTTCGGCCAGTGTATGGGTATCTTGAGACTGAGACTTTTGTGTGCAGATCAGACTGAAGCTGATTAAGGTGCTGATGTTGTGAAAATACTGAATGTTACTGGTGGAAGCCTGTGGCCTGAGAGAGACTCAAAAGTAAAGATTGTGATAGGTTTGATGGCTTCAGACCCCAAGGTTATGTGGTCTGAAGCTGTGCTGAAGAAAGCAAACTGTAAAGATTATTTATTTCTGTGCTGAAGGAAGCAAACTTTTAAGTTCTTATGCTGTGCTGAAGAAAGAAAGGACTGTTCCTGTTGTTGGCTGTGGAAAAAAAA